ATTGAGAAATTCAACTAAAAGCGGCCTCTTTGATAGAATTGACGTTAACCAACACTTGATTACTTTAACAAATTGGCATTGTGGCTATAACAGGTTTTGTAGAGCAGTTTTGAAGCTTAGTGTCCCTTATATTTATGGTAGACCCGTTTCACTTTTCCTTATTTATTTACAGTTGTCATAGGTTATTTATTTCGTACTAAAAATGTGTCCCAGATTGGGATTTTTGGGTTTTGCTAACTGTAACAGTAATCGATTTTGTTATTTCATTTTGTTAACAGTATTTGATTTTGTGACAGGTTTTCAATTTGCTAACAGCAGTTGGTTGTATGACAGTTTCCTAAAAACAGTTGATTGACTGTTGCAGGTTAGCCTGTCCAATGTGCGCTACCTGATCTTGGATGAGGCAGACCGAATGTTAGACATGGGATTTGAGTCTCAAGTGCGAAAATTAGTGGAAAGATGTGGAATGCCTGATAAAGCAAATAGACAGACATTAATGTTTAGTGCCACGTTCCCGGATGAGATTCAACGTTTGGCAGCAGACTTCTTGAAGGAGGATTACCTTTTTGTTGCTGTTGGTCGTATTGGTGGATCTAATCTAGATATTTCCCAGACGGTAATTTCTGTTCCTGGCGATGACAAGCAGCAGAAGCTTTTTGACATTCTGCTTCAGTCAGGTATGTATCTCACAGAGTGCAATCTCAGGCTACTAACCCGGATTTTTTTAATATTAAGACTATGTATGCTTGAGTTTATTCCAAATTTCTACACAATCCAGCAAGTATATATAGGAGAAATAATCAACCACAAATAATTTTTATAGAATATCCACAGCATGTGCCATGGTGCCATGTCTAATGGCCAATTCCCTGTATGAGACGTACCTGCAGGGAATCATGGTAGTTGTATACATCAAAACAAATGTCTGGTCAGAGATGATAAATACAAGTTCCATGATTCCCTGCAGGCGCATCTCATTGTGAATTGTGTATGAACAGTTAGTTATGAGCTGGAGATCTCCTCGAGGTTAAAGTTGCTGAGGCTGAGGGCTGAATCAACTATCACATCCAAGAAATCAAGGGCGACTAATCTTGTTTTAGTTCATCTAAAAGCCGTGCTTTCCTATCACTTATCGTTTAAATTTGCAGTAATGTAGGTAAACTCATTAGTTTAAACAAAATTTTCGATCTTTTTTATCCAAGAAACTGAATGTCCTTCTGTTAGTCTCCTGAGGAATTTTGTTACCAATTTGATTCCAAATGTTTGGAGAAACGAGAAAGCGTTACCATTTTGTTGACTACATCAAGCCATTGCACACTTTTGACCGATAGTGTGCGATGCGTTTATTTCGATTATCAAAATGTAAGATCTCTCTGCTTGTGCCCTCAGTGCGTCAACAGTCCGTGAGCTTTCTGTAGTTCAATTAATTTTCTATTGTTGTTTTTGGTCAAAACTGATCACGTGGTACAATGAGCCGCCGGCTCCATGGTGTACTAGTATGCCGATGGGCGACTATCAGATGACAGTACGTGCTTAACGAAGTGGCTCATGAAACGCACTCTCTCCTAGAGTTTTTTTAGGTGAATATAAAAATAATGAGTAGTTTTTAGACCGAAAAATGCGAAAACGGCACGGGGGCGTAGAGGTTTCCAAATTGCGAGGAAAAGCCAGGATTTGCATGTTTTAAGAAACTATATACTAACCCTCGAACTTCATTCCCGGGCTTATGTTTGTTTTTTTAGAACTTAGAAAAAATTACCGCGGGCAACTATCAATTCACAGACCCTTAACAGAAACTTCTAATGTGTATAGCGGAGCTCCGGCGGCCCGAAGGGTAGCCAAGCGGAGCACCATACCTATATAGGAAAGAAAAGGAAACCCATGAATTGATTTTCTCATGGTTATCATGGCTGGCGGTATTGCTCGTGGGCGCGTACGTACAACAGCAGGGAGTTTAAAAAACCCACAACGGCGGCGGCTACGGGAATGTCGCTAAACAAAAGGTTTAATGAGGAGAACAATG